AAATTTTTATTTTCTTTATTTAATCTAAACAAAATTACAAAACAAATTGGTCAATGACCGTATTTTGCATTGGCATTGAAAAAAATTATCAATAATTAATAATTTTTATAAATAGTGCAAAAGTAAAAAAAAAAAAAATTGCATAATTAGCAATTATTAGTTTTTACCTAAGTATGTAGGAAATTAACAAAAAGTATTTAAAGTAAAAAGTTTTTCAAACGAAAGAGCAGTTCACTTTTAATTAGTGATCGAAATATTTGATTTAAAGTTATATTTTCTAGTTGAGAGCGCTAACTGGACTAAGGACAATGAAACCTTTGAGAACTACATGCCTTTTAGTAGGCTTTTTTGCTTTGGCTACCGCCAATTCCATGAGCTGGCAATCTAGTAGAAATTCCATTAAGAATAGCATGAAACCTACCGATTGGTTATCGCCATCCGAATTGGAATCATTACCCTCTTTGGGTGAAATCTCTATGCAGAAATTGGAAAGTATGTCGGTGGAAGAAGGCGCTGATATGCTTAACAAGTTGTGTGAGTATTTATTATTATAAATATATATTTTTGTAATGTACTAACAAATATATTCTCATTCCAGATCACTTGGCCCAAGTCGACGAAGATTTTGAACCCAGTTTTGCTCCCCAGCCTAGTGAAATTCCAACCTACTTGATTACTCCCAACAACCAGAAAATCAGCTTTAAATTAAATGAATTGCCCAAAATTGCCAAGGAAGCTAAGAATTTCGGTGATCAAGAGGTGACCATTTTCATTACTGGTCTACCACAAAAAACCGAACAAATCAAAAAGGCCACCCGCAAATTAGTGCAAGCCTATATGCAACGTTATAATGGCGATAATCCCGAACCAGCTAATGTAAAATATGAAGACTCAAGTGAAAACAGAAATCCCAGTTCTAGCGAAGAAGATTATTCTACTTCATGGAAGAGTAGATCCAACAAACCTGATGGTAATTTGGTAATTGTTGATTTGGGCTCATCTCTGCCTAACTTTAAGGCTTATGCCACATTGGATATTGAAGAGACTGGTGAAAAGATTGGTGATATCTTAGTGCAACTTACCGACAAGGCCGATGTTCCTCAAGAAATTATACATGTTATTGGCTCCAATATTGCTGCTCATGTCGCTGGTGCTGCTGCTCGTCAATATACCCGTGAAACTGGTCATCAATTGCGTCGTGTTACTGGTTTAGATCCCTCCAAAATCTATGCCAAGAAAAGCCAAACTTTGACAGGTTTAGCTAGAGGAGATGCCGATTTCGTTGATGCTATCCACACATCAGCTTATGGTATGGGTATTGCCACACGTTGTGGTGATGTTGATTTCTATCCTGATGGACCTACTCCCGGTGTATCTGGTTCTGAAAACGTTGTAGAAGCTTCCATGCGTGCTGTACGTTATTTCGCTGAATCTGTTGTACCCGGTAATGAACGTAACTTCCCCGCTGAGGCTGCCATATCTCTCAAGGAATACAAAAATCAGAATATCAGCGGTAAACGTGTATACATGGGCATCGGTACCGAACAGGATGTTGAAGGTGATTTTGTTCTTCAAGTCAATGCTAAGACTCCATTCGGTCGCAGAGCACCAGCTCAAAGACAACAAAATTATGTTAGACATAATTTAGCTCACCAGGCCAATGCTAAGTCTTCGTTTGATCAATCTAGAGGAATCTTTTGGGGACAACGACATGGATAATGACTTCTGATGATTAGAAAAAGATTTATATACTTACATATGTACACACATACATGTCTATGTATGATTCGATTATTTTGTTTTCAATATTTTTTGTATACTTTTGTAAATAAACATTAATGCTTTGTTAAAAAAAAACTGAACTAGGCTTATTTTTTGTCATGGAACATAGTATGAATTAATTATTAATTTTAAAGGTACATTTTCAGCCAGAATTATACTTCCAAATTTATATATCATACCATTTTCTTAAATATTATCAGGTCCTGGTACCGAAAAAAACCTACTTGAAGTAGTGTTAGTTCCGGCCTCAAATGACTTGTTTTCGTTGCTGATCGGTGCAAATGATTAGAATTTAGTTTTCTGATGAATTTTTGTTTCAAACAGAATCTGTAATTTAATTGACTTAATTTTACCAGGCTTGAATTGAATTCTTGTAAATAGTTACTAACTTATAAAAGAAAGTTCACTTTTCTAGGATCCTAAATAATCTTACCACTTGGCATATAGACTATAGACTATAGGAACTATAGACTAGACTATAGGCTCAGACTTATAGACTAGGACTATAGGACTAGGACTATTAGAACTAGAACTATAGACTAGACCATAGACTAGACTATAGACTAGACTATAGACTAGGATATAGGACTAGACTAAGACTAGAATATTCGACCTATAGTCGACTATAGTAGACTATAGACTAGCTATAGACTTAGAATATAACTAGACTATAGACTAGACTATAGACTAGACTATTAGATAGACTATGGACCTAGACTATAGACTAGACTATAGGACTAGACTATAGACTAGACTATTATCGACTAGACTATAGACTAGACTATAGACTAGACTATAGACTAGACTATTAGACAGGACTATAGACTAGACTTATAGACTAGGGATATAGAACTAGACTATTAGACCAGATATAGACTAGACTATAGGACTAGACTATAGACTAGAATATAGACTAGACTTAGACTAGACTAGACTTAGACTATTAGGACTCGACTATAGACTAGACTATGAATAGACTATAGACTAGACTATAGACTAGAACTATAGACTAGACTATAGACTAGACTATAGGACTAGACTATAGACTAGACTATAGACTAGAATATAGACTAGACTTATAGACTAGACTGATAGACTAGACTATAGACTAGACTATAGACTAGACTATAGACTAGACTATAGACTAGACTATAGACTAGACTATAGACTAGACTATAGACTAGACTATAGACTAGACTATAGACTAGACTATAGACTAGACTATAGACTAGACTATAGACTAGACTATAGACTAGACTATAGACTAGACTATAGACTAGACTATAGACTAGACTATAGACTAGACTATAGACTAGACTATAGACTAGACTATAGACTAGACTATAGACTAGACTATAGACAACTATAGACAGACTATAGACTAGACTATAGACTAGACTATAGACTAGACTATAGACTACTATAGACTAGACTATAGACTAGACTATAGACTAGACTATAGACTAGACTATACTAGACTATAGACTAGACTATAGACTAGACTATAGACTAGACTATAGACTAGACTATAGACTAGACTATAGACTAGACTATAGACTAGACTATAGACTAGACTATAGACTAGACTATAGACTAGACTATAGACTAGACTATAGACTAGACTATAGACTAGACTATAGACTAGACTATAGACTAGACTATAGACTAGACTATAGACTAGACTATAGACTAGACTATAGACTAGACTATAGACTAGACTATAGACTAGACTATAGACTAGACTATAGACTATACTATAGACTAGAGTATAGACTAGACTATAGACTAGATTATAGACTAGACTATAGACTAGACTATAGACTATACTATAGACTAGACTATAGACTAGACTATAGACTAGACTATAGACTAACTACAGACTAAACTATAGACTAGACTATAGACTAGACTACAGACTAGACTATAGACTAGACTACTACTAGACTATAGACTAGACTATAGACTAGACTATAGACTAGACTATAGACTAGACTATAGACTAGACTATAGACTAGACTATAGACTAGACTATAGACTAGACTAGACTAGACTATAGACTAGACTATAGACTAGACTATATACTAGACTATAGACTAGACTATAGACTAGACTATAGACCTAGACTATAGACTAGACTATAGACTAGACTATAGACTAGACTATAGACTAGACTATAGACTAGACTATAGACTAGACTATAGACTAGACTATATACTAGACTATAGACTAGACTATAGACTAGACTATAGACTAGACTATAGACTAGACTAGACTAGACTATAGACTAGACTATAGACTAAGACTATAGACTAGACTATAGACTAGACTATAGACTAGACTATAGACTAGACTATACGAGACCTATAGACTAACTATAGACTAAGAACTATAGACTAGACTATAGACTAGACTATAGACTAGACTATAGACTAGACTATAGACTAGACTATACAGACTAGACTATAGACTAGACTATAGACTAGACTAGAGACTAGACTATATACTAGACTATAGACTAGACTATAGACTAGACTATAGACTAGACTATAGACTAGACTATAGACTAGACTATAGACTAGACTATAGACTAGACTATAGACTAGACTATAGACTAACTATAGACTAGACTATAGACTAGACTATAGACTAGACTATAGACTAGACTATAGACTAGACTATAGACTAGACTATAGACTAGACTAGACTATAGACTAGACTATAGACTAGACTATAGACTAGACTATAGACTAGACTATAGACTAGACTATAGACTAGACTATAGACTAGACTATAGACTAGACTATAGACTAGACTATAGACTAGACTATATACTATACTATAGACTATACTATAGACTAGACTATAGACTAGACTATAGACTAGACTATAGACTAGACTATAGACTAGACTATAGACTAGACTATAGACTAGACTATAGACTAGACTATAGACTAGACTATAGACTAGACTATAGACTAGACTATAGACTAGACTATAGACTAGACTATAGACTAGACTATAGACTAGACTATAGACTAGACTATAGACTAGACTATAGACTAGACTATAGACTAGACTATAGACTATACTATAGACTAGACTATAGACTAGACTATAGACTAGACTATAGACTAGACTATAGACTAGACTATAGACTAGACTATAGACTAGACTATAGACTAGACTATAGACTAGACTATAGACTAGACTATAGACTAGACTATAGACTAGACTATAGACTAGACTATAGACTAGACTATAGACTAGACTATAGACTAGACTATAGACTAGACTATAGACTAGACTATAGACTAGACTATAGACTAGACTTAGACTAGACTATAGACTAGACTATAGACTAGACTATACTATGACTATAGACTATAGACTAGACTATAGACTAGACTATAGACTACTATAGACTAGACTATAGACTAGACTATAGACTAGACATATACTAGACTATAGACTAGACTATAGACTAGACTATAGACTAGACTATAGACTAGACTATAGACTAGACTATAGACTAGACTATAGACTAGACTATGACTAGACGATAGACTAGACTATAGACTAGACTATAGACTAGACTATAGACTAGACTAGACTAGACTATAGACTAGACTATAGACTAGACTATAGACTAGACTATAGACTAGACTATAGACTAGACTATAGACTAGACTATAGACTAACTATAGACTAGACTATAGACTAGACTGTAGACTAGACTATAGACTAGACTATAGACTAGACTATAGACTAGACTAGACTAGACTATAGACTAGACTATAGACTAGACTATAGACTAGACTATAGACTAGACTATAGACTAGACTATAGACTAGACTATAGACTAGACTATAGACTAGACTATAGACTAGACTATAGACTAGACTATAGACTAGACTATAGACTAGACTATAGACTATAGACTAGACTATAGACTAGACTATAGACTAGACTATGGACTAGACTATACTAGACTATAGACTAATTATACACTAGACTATAGACTAGACTATAGACTAGACTATAGACTAGAATATAGACTAGACTATAGACTAGACTATAGACTAGACTATGACTAGACTATAGACTTGACTATAGACTAGACTAAATTATAGACTAGACTATAGACCTCTATAGAATATTGACAAACTATATACTAGACTAGACTATAGACTGGCCTTTAGACTGTACTATAGACTAGACTATAGACTATATTAGAATATAGACTCGACTATAGACTAGACTATAGACTAGATTATAGACCAGACTATAGACTAGTCTATAGACTAGACTATAGACTAGACTACAGACTAGACTATAGACTTGACTACAGACTAGACTGTAGACTTGACGATAGACTAGACTATAATTTTGAAAAATATATGAAAGACTTATTGCAGTAACTCAGTAAACATGTAAAAAACAATGTGGTCAATGGCCGAATATTTTATCGGTATTGAAAAAAATTATCAGTTTTTATTAGTGCAAAAGTAAACAAAATTTTGATGTACACTTTTTGCGTTGTTAGCAATTAATAACTTCCTATTCAAAAAAGTATTTAAAGTGAAATATTTTCAAAAGAAAGAGCAGTTCACTTTTAAGAACTGATCTAAATATTTGATTTTTTCTGACTGATAGCGGAAACTGGATTGAGGACAATGAAGCCTTTAAGAACTATATGCCTTTTAATAGGCTTTTTTGCTTTGGTAACAGCCAATTCTATGGGCTGGCATTCAAGTGAAAATTCCATTAAGAATAGTATGAAACCCACCGATTGGTTATCAGCATCTGAATTGGAATCTCTGCCTTCTTTGAATGAAATATCTGTGAAGAAATTGGAAAGTATGTCTGTGGAAGAAGGCGCTGATATGCTTAACAAGTTGTGTGAGTAATTATTAATAACAAAATTTTCTGTTTAAAATAATAACAAATATAATCTCGTTTCAGATCACTTGGCCCAAGTTAATGAATACTTTGAACCCACTTTTTCTCCCCAGCC